TCGTCATTGTAGGGTGTTGGGGATCCCTCTCTCTCTCTCTCTCTCTCTCTCTCTCTCTCTCTCTCTCTCTCTCTCTCTCTCTCTCTCTCTCTCTCGCTCTCTCTCTCTCTCTCTCGATCAATCGGGCACCCACCCACCGACCCACAGTTCGTATGAACCCCACGAAAAAGCATGACTGTGCCAGACTGTTTCGTTGGACTTTCACTAACTCATCAGAAGGTTGAACCCCGACAATCTGCCCATTATGCATTTGCATGCACGTGTGTGTTTGTGCTTGTGCGTGTGTGCGTTCATGTGCTTATTGGTGGACGGGCGGGCGTTCGTGTGAGTGTGTGTTGTGCGTGCATGTGCTTGTGCATGTGCTTGTTGGAGTGGACGGGCGGGCGTTCGTGTGAGTGTGTGCTGTGTGCCAACAAAGATATGCGGAGGGGACGAACCGCTGAGCCCAAGATGAGACTGTCCCGCCTGGAACCGGTTTCTCCTCACGCCTGGCAGCCCTAACTTCGTCTGGGCTGCAAACTTCTAATCAAGGCCGTTGGCCAACTGGTACCGGGCCGACAGCCCCGATCGCCCTGCGATCTTAAAGTTTCAAGATCTTGGAGCAATCCCAGCCGTCGGGACGGCCTGGATCGCCGCGCAATCTTAAAATCCTAAGATCGCGGGGCAATCGGGGCCGTGAAGTGAATTCTTATATTTATATATTCATTGATTGATTCCAATTCAGTTTTTGTTTTGAAAGCTGGCGTATTAAACTTCGGAAACCTCCAAAAGAAGCCAAAACAGAACTTGTCCAAATACAAAAAGTGAAAGGTAACTTCGGGCCGGTAGGTCCGCGGACGGCCCGAATGCCAAAATTCTCACATTAGCAATTTTAGTAAGTGTAGGGATCTGACAGTTGTCTCAATTGGAATCTTCCTCCCCTTTATCCAACGTGCCTGTAGCCATCATCCAGCGGCACTGTTTAAGGTGTGCATTAGTGGCCCACCCCTGTGCCCAAGGTTTATGCTTATGACCAGCACTGCCCGTTCTTTACCCTCGTGTGCAACGAGCCGTACATCTGATTGATCTGGCTGATCAAGAGGCAGTTTAAGGACAGCCCCTAAGGTAATCAGGAATTATTTAACGTCGCAATCAGAACGACGATTACAGACAGTGGACCGTGACCCCTCCTTTGACTAGGGCCCTTCAGAGACACCGCCCTCTCCTGCCAGATGCACCATCGGGAGGTAGAACGCTCAAGACTCCTCGCACAAAAGAGAGGACACTCAAGGTTGGACTCACTTCCTCACTGTAAGAAGAGATTGAGAGGGTATATAAGGTAAGGGAACAACGTACCTGTAGATAGCAGCCCCCAACCACAGATTTCTCATCAATTGAGCCAATGTGCATTTCGATGACCAGTTGTAGCTTTGGTACCACGCACAACGCAATGCAGCACCACCTCGGCCAAAATGCCACATCAGCATGCTCTCATCATCATACATACATCCGCTGTGGCCACAGCTCCCAAGCTGTCGCCACAGCCTTCCAGCGGGGAACCCCTCTACCCGGGTCCCTCATTAACAAGCCAGCTCCAAAGTATCCTCACTGCATAGAAGCATCGTCCACGGACCAAGTAATAATGTCGCCGGCGATAGGTAAGGCGATCTCAAACCAGCTCCGATACCAAATTGGAAGGAATATGAGTGAGAACGGTATACAGAAAGCCAAGTTACGAAATCACACAGATGTCCAAGTAGACGTGTACAAGCAGAGAACCCAAATGCACCGAGATTCCATCCAATTAAGAGCAATGCAATGAACTTATTAGCCAATGTTCAAGCCCTCAGGCCACACCAACACAGTATCCAATGTCGCTCCTCTCTGTCTCGCGCCCAGCGCGCAGTCTACACTACTTACCTATCCTACTACATCCCCATTCACGGGACAGGCTCACTTCGACTTTGAAGACCAATGTACATGACGTCAACTCCATAGCCGACCTCTCTCATGTACCAGGTACGAATCTTGACTCCCCTCATCAAACCCTGTCCACCCACACTCGCCTCCTTCTTGAAGTCCACCGATCGCCCTCTCACCCGCTAGCGCCCTGCAGCCCTGCACCCCCTAGGGCCCAGCAGCGCCCCTCTTCACCTCACACGTGCCCTCACGCGCTCTGGCCTCTGCAGCCTCTAACGCAGCAGCGCAGCAGCGTGACCGTATTGCGTGGGCCAGAATGCCCGAACCGGGCTGCCTTCCTTCCTGTATGGAAGTGTCAGCCTCTGCTTGGCTGTGTGTGGCCTGCTGAAAAATTCCAGTAGCTTCCGGTTGGGCCCTAGTGCCTGCGCCCAGCCCCTGTGGTACAGTTGAGGGCCTGGGCCCTTTACAGTTGGGCACGGCCTGAGTCTCCAAACTTGGGCCGTTTGCTGCACTTGCACAGGACCCGGGGTATGTACGTCGACAGTGCTACTTTTGCGTAGGCCTGGGCCAAACTGCACGACGCAGCTTAGGGAGGTTCACGCGTCCGCTCAACCAACTGGCTGGCTGAGTACCCACATATGCAAAAATGTCAAATTTTGGCCTTTAGTGAATATTCAGGACCGCCTTCACTTAGGGCGGGCACTTGGCTTGCTGGGCGCCTCTGCCCAGAGCCTGTGCATGCTTGACAAGGGCCCCGCGAGTGATGTAATGGCCCTGCATTGTGTGTAATTACCCAGGCGCAACAGCCAAGGCCTGCGCCAAACTGCACGACGCAGCTTAGGGAGGTACACGCGTCCACTAAACCAACTTGCTGGCTGAGTACCCACATATGCAAAAATGTCGAATTTTGGCCTTTAGTGAATATTCAAGCCCGCCTCCACTTAGGGCGGGCACTTGGCTTGCTGGGTCTGCCCAAAGCCAGTGCATGCTTGACAAGGGCCCCGCGAGGGCTCATTCCTCGCATCGGTGGAATAGAAACCGGACTGATGTTCCCCAGAATGGAAATGGAGCCAGGGCCATAAGGACCTGTTTAAGAAAAGAAAGAAAAAAAAAGAAAAAAAGAAAAAAAAGATTGGGCCATTGCACATCGAAGTGTTATGATTCTGGTTGTTTGTTGTCTGAAGACCAACACTCACTCACATAGACTTCCAGGTATGCCCATACATACACAGAAGGAAGGGGAGGGGATAGAAGTATCACACCACACAGGGAGAGAGAAACACACCGGAAGACTTGACCATGCGATATGACAGGGTACACTGAAAGTGCAATTCACTCCACTCAATCCTCACAACCAGTCATAAAGAAAAGCCGAGTAGATCACACCCAGAAAACAATGAAACGATGACAGTCCAAACCCAGTTACACACTGTTTATTAAACTCGGAGTCTCGAATTGTCAGGATAACTTCAGTACTACAGTGCGCTGCTCAGAAGTGAGCAGCACTTCACTCCCCAACCCTGGTTAGCACCCGTAACACCCCTAAGCCCCTGAAACATCAAGCGCCACCCAGATACAGCCTCTACAGGGAAGCGCCACCCTGAAACAGGCGTCTGAGGCCAAGCGCCACTCAGAGGATGAAGAAGAAGACCACCGCCACAGTATCTGATGATGACGAAGTGTCGGAAGGCTTCCCAGATGGAAGTCTGCAGCAGCGCCACCAAACCCTGACATGATGACCTCTGAGGAAGAAGATGTACCTATGGCTGCAGCGCCACCACCCTGGAACCCCACTCAGAAGGAGGGTCCAGCAGGGCACCACCTTCTCTCGCCTCCAGCAGACCTCGATAGCCCAGACCTCTGTCAGTGCGTGCTGGCAGAGTACAGCGCAGGTCCCCGCTATGGCCAGCGCTCCAAAGGTCTGGCTATGCCTGTCTCCTTCCACGCTGAGCCATCACTACTTCCGGTTGACGCATAGCGCAGCAGCGATGTACTCGGTACCAACTGCCAAAAGCCCTGGACCGATGTGCCCATTCTATCTATAGACTACAGCTAGCCTAGACTCGACCTAGACCGGACTGACTGACTGACCGGTACCGTATCACTGTCGGCCTCTCGGCCTCTACCGTACCCAGCTATGGGCTATAGGACCGTCTATCAGCATAAAGGCCCTTAGGGCCTGTCTGTCCTAGGGGTAGCCCGGGCCTGCTATTCGCAGTTAGGGTAGTAGTAGGAAATTCAGTTAGTGTTAGGCCTATATTTTTCCCAAATTTACAGGTATGTCCCCCACGAATTCACACTACAGGTAGGTCTCTCGATTAGCCCTCAGCCAAACAAAACTACGAATCTACCCTACCTATGGTACAACCTTGACAGAGAGAGGCTACAGGCGACCAGAAAACAGCAAGTCATTGCAGACCTACCCTCCCCCGGAGCGAGGACCTCCGAGTTAGAGGCCTAGGCGTGCAGAGCGCCGAAGGGATACTCCCTTGCGAGTAATCCAGCGATCCTCGGTATGTGGCTGGTACAAGAACTTCACAGGTACTCCTTATCTGGACCTGTACCTGACTCATCCTCCATAGATTCTACCTCATATCCTTTGCCAGGGATAGGGGGACCGAACTGAGGAGGCTTGTCTGGGAATGCATCAGCTGACGCGAACGGCAACAGCTTAGATGCATGGAAGACAGGGTAGGTTTGTAGATGCAGAGGGACGTCCACTGTAGAGGATGGTCCAAATGGATCCGCTCCCACTGTATCTAAGATACTCCCTTGCGAGTAAACCAGCGATCCTCGGTATGTGGCTGGTATAAGAACTTCACAGGTACTCTTTATCTGGACCTGTACCTGACTCATCCTCCACAGATTCTACCTCATATCCTTTGCCAGAGGAGGCCTGTCTGGGAATGCATCAGCTGACGCGAACGGCAACAGCTTAGATGCATGGAAGACACGGTAAGTTTGTAGATGCAGAAGGACGTCCATTGTAGAGGATGGTCCAAATGGATTCGCTCCCACTGTATCTAAGACCTGCCATGGACCCATATATCGTGGCCACAGCTTGGGTGAAATGTCCTCCTCTCACGACATCTCAGAACTGAGTACCCACACCCAGTCACCTGTGTGAATAGTAGAAGGACGCTTGTGCTTGTTAGTCTGTTGAACCATACCCTTTTGGGCTTTCAGCAGGTTAGCACAGGCGCGCTCTATGTCCACACGGTAAGGCCTGGTGAACTCTGCAATTCCAGGTGTCAGCGTAGGGGTAGCCTTATCGATGATATCATCGAGACGTTGCCGTGGCTCACGACCCCAATGCAACCGGTGGGGTGTAAAGCCCGTAGAGGAGTGTACAGACGTGTTGTACACAAGTTGTGCACGACCCAAATGAAGATCCCAGACCTGTTGATTTGGACTGATCACAGGACGCAGCAACTGAAGCAGAATCTGGTTCATCACTTCAGCCTCTCCATCGGCTTCAGGATGACGACCAGATGTCATGTCCAGCCTGGAAGGAAGGTAATCCCTGCAGTAGGATTGCCATTCAGTGCTACAGAAACGAGGATTTCGATCACTGACGATAGAGGTGGGCGGTCCATGATGTGTAACCCACCTGTCAGCGAATGCCGCCTGAACGGCCAGAACGTGAGCCTCAACTGGTAAGTGGATGAACTCTACATATTTAGAGAACCGATCCACACATACCATAACCTGACGCATACCACGGGGCGTGGTCCTACCCAAGTCAGTAAAATCAATTGACACTGACTGTGCAGGTGCATCTGGGATAGGTAGTGGTTTGAGTAGGCCAAGGGGAGGTCGACGTACAACCTTGTTCCTTTGGCATAACTCACAGGTTTGAACATAATGCAGCATGTCACTCCTCATCTCCTTCCAGAAGAACCGCTGCGACAGGGCTGCATAAGATTTGAGGGCCCCAAAGTGACCACGAACATCATGACACTCTGACATCAGAAGTCTTCTTAGCTCGCGGGCTTGGGGAATGTACAGGCGTTCCTCACCTCTGCTGCATGTATACAACAGATTTGAAACCACAGTATATCCTGGTTCAGAGGCAGGATCACTCTGAAGATTCCTCACAATAGGCCCAAAAATCTCATCCTGGTGTAGCAAACAGGCAATGGTCTGGCGAGTCCTCTCTCCAAACGAGTGGGTAAAGGAGATCAGAAAAAAAGTGTCAGGCCTACGAGAAATGGCGTATGCTACTCGACTATAGCAGCCCTTCTTGTGATTCAGTTCAAAGTCAAACATGTCAATGAACTGAATATAGCGGGCAAGCTTGTCATTCAACTCTCCCTGAGACTTCATCCACTAAAGAGTGGAGTGATCTGAAAAGATCTTAAAGTGCCTACCCAGGAAAGTGTTTCCAATGGGCTAACACAAGAGCATAAAGTTTTTCTCATAGGTAGAATCCTGCAACTTCTTGGCCTTGATCTTCTTGCTCGTATACTCGATAGGTTGCAGACCACTCCCATCATCATGTTGAAGTACCACCCCTACACCATACTGACTAGCATCAAAGGTAAGCACGAAAGGCAGAGTAAGGTCAGGTCACTTCAAGACAGGGGCACGAATCAAGGCCTCCTTGAGACGTGTAAAAGCCTCCTGACATTCTAATGTCCAAAGAAAGGAAGTCTCTTTCTTTGTGAGATCAATCGAGGGAGTTGCAATAGAAGAGAAGTTTTGGATGAACTTCCTATAATAGGATGCAAGTCCCAAGAATGACCGGACATCACGAATGTTAGCAGGTCATGGCCAGTCCTGAACAACTTCCGTTGCTTCAGGAGTCGACCCCTCTCCAGAAATGACGTGACCTAGATAGACCACAGAACGAACCCCAAAAGAGGATTTCTCCCTATTGATCTTATATTGGTTATCACGTAAGGCCTGGAGGACCAGAGCCAGATGTTGCGCATGCTCCTGGACAGAACGACTTAATACCTATCCAACAGATCATCAATGTGAGGAAGGGGCTCTGTAGACTTCCTCGTGATTTTGTTGAGACCGCGGTAGTCCATGCACATCCTGAACTCACCATTCCCCTTTGGAACAAAGAGGACTGGTGCCCCAAACTCAGATGTGCTGGGCCTGATCTAGCCCTTGCTGATCAAGGTCTCTAATTATTTCCTGAGCTCTTCAAGTTCAGCAGGTGACATCCTGTAGACTCGGCCCTTGGGAGGGACTGAACTAGGGAGGATCTCAATCTTATATTTGGTCTGCCTATGGACAAGTCCAGTAGGCTCCTCCATAAGATTTGAGAAGCGGTCAACAACCAGCTGAATTTGAGAGGGACAGGGAGCAGTCTCAACGTAAGTCTGTTTGACACAAGCCACAAACAGACGGGCGTGGTCAGTCTGGCTTGAAAATCGCAGAAATCTGCGAGCACTCATGCAATAACAGTTGCTGGCCGGATGGTACTCGACTCGTCAGTGAGCATGCAAAGGCGATAAACCCCATGCCAGTCAGGTAGCTCAACCCTAGGAATCCGCCAGTCGATCCTAGGATTGGTGGCACCCAACCACTACATAGAAAAGACAAGGTCAAAGGGAACATTAAGGAACACATACAAATTCAAGCGGTGTCTGACTTCTCCCTGCTTGTCAAAGGACAAGAGGTAGGCCCTTGACAACAGTCGTAATCCTGATTGTGGAAGAGTCACGAATGCGAGCCTCTATAGGCTGTCCCAATTCACCAGTCTCTGATCCAAGTGCAGCTTGCTGACTGCCTTGGGAGAGATGAAGTTGCGAGTAGCCCCACAGTCCAAGAGCCCTTTGATCTTGGCTCCCAAGATGAAGGGTCGAAGTAGGATGAGTTCAGACCTATGTTTTTTCTTCTTTTCCTGCAAGGACAGGAAAAGGTCAGCAAGGCACTGAGCATCGTCCTCCTCCCACGTCTCATCCAACTCAAGAGTTTTCAAACATGAAAGACCCTGAAGATGCAACTCCAGATATGGAAGACCCAACGAGAGAATGTGAAGATTCACCCTCATCTGAAAGTGAATCAGCACTGGTGGAAGGAGCTGCTGCTTGCACCTCTCTCTGCTCTAGTTTTTTGAACTAGAGCTGCCTGTAGACCTACGAGGCATGCTGGGACAGTCCTTCAACAAATGGTCCCCCTCGCATCTCAGGCAGACCCCCTTGTCCTTCCTCTTCCTCCATACCGCCTCCTGGATCCTGAGTGCATGCCAGGGGAAGGTGGAAGGATCAAGGGGATCAACTGGCCAACGGACGTCACGTGGCAAAGGTACTCTCTAGGCACCACGGGAAGAGGCACGTCCCTTTCCTTTCCCCTGCTTGCTGGCTGATGCTTTCTGGGTTGAGGCCTTGCCCTTTGTCAGGCCTATCAAAGCATCAGATGGTAAAACAGAATCTGCAGCAGATGGTAAAGCAGTCCCTGGTGGAGGGCTCCCACCCTGTGATGCTGTGTCACTATCTGATCCGGAAGCTGCAGCAGCCAACAGGGCACCCTTCCTCCTCCTTCGGCCTTTGGAGGAGGGTCCCTTCCTTCAAAAGGTGCTTCCTGGACATGGAGCTTGGACTCCAAGTCTAGGGCTGCTCTGCCAAAGGATCGCTAGTCCTTGTGGCCCTGAGAGAATAAAGCCGGTTGGTATTGCTCAGGCGCTGCACGCAAGACATGAATGAGATACTGCTCACTCATCTCTAACCCTGGAGTCGAGGTCAGACTCTCAAAGGTAGAATAGAGTTTGGACAAGGAGCCATCAAATTTCTTTTGGCCCAGGCGCAGAATTTTATCTGCTGTTTTCCTGGCCAGCTCCTTGTCTGCAAACCTATCCTGCAGGGCCTGCAGAAAACCAGCCACCCCCAACCTTTGTGCCAAATCAGACATTTCCATCCCTTGCTTGCTGGAGGTGGAAGTGCATCACTTCAGTGAAGTCCGCTCCAAGCGAGCAAGGATGGCAGACACCTTCACATCCTCATCACATTTGAACGCACTCATGTAGGTTCTCTGGGCAGTGACCCAATCTGCAACATCCACCTTCGGATCTTCACCTGAGAACATTGGTGCAGGTGTCAGCTTGGGCTGCTGAAAGTCAAATGGTGATGAGGGTTGTGAAGTTGCTGTTGATTTCGGGGTAGAGGGTGGAGATGTGGGTCTGGATTGCGGGGGGTTTTGACAGCCTGCTTGAGAAGGCCCAAGAGAGGGAGGAGCTGTCTAAGCAGGTGGGATCTTCAGATGGACAAAGAGACGGTCCAGTTTGGAAGAGATATCTTTCAACTGTTGAGTATGCTCAGCCATGCTGTCCTCCAAACTGGTGATCCTGGCGTCCCAGCTAGTAGAATAGGACTGATGAATTTCGTCCTGCATAAGGACGAATTCAGCTATGTCCTTATTGCACTAACTGGAGCTGCCACTAGTTCTAACCTTCTCCAAGTCAGCTGCCAGTTCCCTCCCTGTTGCTTTTCTGGCAGATTCCTCCTTCCTCTTCAGCTCAGCCTTTAGAGACTCAACTGCCTTGGCCTGTTGGCGATGTATCTCCTCCTGGGTCCGCAGTTCAGCCTCTAGCGGGTCAAGAAGGACCGGCGTTTTGGGCTGTACCTGAGGCTTCACTTCAGAAGTCTCACTCTTCTTAGGCACTTCGCCCTTCTCAGAATCGGCCATTTTTTTGCCCACAATTCAGATAAATAAAAATAGAACAGGCAGTAACAGGAATTGAGATTTATTTTCAGTACTCACTAGAGAGCGCAAACGGGTAACCGTTACCCGTACCGTACCCGACTGTAACCGCCAGGTTACGGGTGGGTATGCGTACCCCTTCCAAAGGGGGAGTTGGGTATGGGCAGACACAAACAAAACGTGGTGGTTGTTAGGGCGGGCACAATTGCCCCTTTTGGAGATCATGGGTGGGTAAGGGCAGGTAGGGGTAGGGGTACCAAAAAAAAAAACGAGTATGGACGGCCAAAAAAAAAAATAGAGGGGTATAGGCAGGTACGGGTGGCAAAAAAACAAAATGGGTGGGTACGGGCAGACAGAGGTTCCGATCGGGTAACCGTGCTATACCCAATGTGAGTCTTGTAGCTTTGCAGGCTTTTTATTTTTGCTCGAGCGTGACACTTCTCATATGCCGAATTTCTTGCTTTCCCATGACGCAAACGTTTTTTCTCGTGGATTTTATATCTCTTCATTTTTTTATTTTTTGTTTGTCAAATTTTCAAACTATTTTCATATGTGTGTAACCCTCTGTACATAATATTTATATGTGTGTGTGTGTGTGTGTGTGTGTGAGAGAGAGAGAGAGAGTGCATGTGTGTGTGACAGACCGAGGGTCGTTGTATTTGCAGATGCTATACAGGTTGCATAGGCTGCTGTAGCACCAGATGCATCCATAGCAGCATCAGAGTGACGACATGTGACAAATGTTGCTTTTGGGGCAGTAGCTGCAGCAGCTGCCACATCTCGAAAAAAATAAAATAACATAATAATATTAATAATAATAAAAATTACCACGTCAATCCTGTGATGTACAGGGGTTGGGAATACTTGGGGGCGGTTAAGGACAATTAGGGGCGGTTAGGGGCGGTTAAAAAAAAAATAAAAAATGTTAGGGATGATTAGGGACAGTCGGGGGCGGTTAGGGACGGTTAAGGACAGTTAGGGGCAATTAGGGGCAGTTAATGACAGTTAGGGGCAGTTATGGGCGGTTAGAGGAGGGTGGACGACGAGCACGGGTGGTTATGGGTGGGTGCATACAATAATGGGTAGGTACGGGTGGGTACATGTAAAGAAAACTTCGGTAGGGTAGGGCATCGGTGATTAACAAACGGTTTGGGTTCAGGTGGCCATGGGTGGTTTTGAAAAAAATTGTTCATGGGTAGGTATGGTCAGTTACATGTTGAAGAGGTTCAGGCAGGGTAGGTCTGGGTATAGTTTTTTTTTTTTAACAGGTGGATATGGGTACAGGTCCAACAGATCAGGTATATAGTGGGTATGAGTGGTTGGTTTTCAAAGAGGGTGTGGTTAGGTCAGGTACAGGTACTCCTAAAAATCCGGGTTGCGAACTTAGGTACTCACTCAATTGCTGTCACCTGCCTGGAGAGAGAAGTAGGTTAGTTTAAGCAAGTGAGTGCTCAGCCTCTACAGACCACTTGAGGGTCAGGGTCAGTTAAGAGTAGACTCAACAAAATCAATTTCACGATTTTCCCATCCCTGCCCTGACACAACAATTGCATGCAAGAAATGCAAATCCTGCTTCAATAACTGACAGGATACAGTCTTGGACTGATTAGTGTTGATTAGTAATTAGACAGAGTGACTAATTAGGGTTTAACAGGTGCCCACTGATGACCAATATGCAACGATTTACAGGTAACCCTATTTTTAGACCGACCCTGCAGACTCCAATATTGTATGACCCTGTATGCCATACCCTTGGTATGGCGAATTACAGTTTTCACTGTAACTGACTCAAAACATCAAATCTGAATGTGCGATTTCAGACAGACACTGTATACTGAATTGCGATTTACCAGGGACTGACATAATTGAATTCTGGCGGACAAAACCAAAGTTATGACTAACTCTAGTCTAGCCAAGCTTTAGCTATGTCAGCGCAAAATTCAAATTTGCATTATCACTGAAAACAGGACCCTGAATTCACCAATTCACTACACAATATAAATCGCAATACCATAAAGCAGTCACAGATGAAATATGAGTCAGAGAAAAGGTTAAACAGGGTTAGTAGAAGTCAAAGAAGGTAGGTAGGGGAAGTTGGATATGGTTGTCCCACAGTCTGACTTTCGATTTTCTACTGTAAACAGACAGACAGACCAAATTTCGCTATTCTAAAAATAGCCCCAGAATCGCCACATAAGCTGGAGTAAGGAACACACTTACTTCAGGGTCCGCTTCTGAAGAAGATGCATGAAACTCTGGCTATGGCTGACAAGTCAACGCCATCTCGCCAGTTCCATCTCCTAACACTATCCAGTGTTCCCACGTACCAAACTCCTTGAAACTTAGTGATCCAGTAGATTACCCTGAGGCGCTTCACCCCCAACTGACAGATTCACGGAATTCGGACTCCCAGGTGCCAATAACTGACAAACTTAGTGCAACGCCACATCACCATGTACTGCGCCATTTGGAAATTGGGGATCCTGACCCAATTCCAAAATCGCTAACTCCTGGGATCACTTCCTTGCCAATCGCCAGCCTCCAGATGAATCCCCAAGCTAAAAATAGCCTCCCAGAGCCTCTCAGACCTCTGAGCACCAATCGCCAACCACTCCTGCAAAACCCTAGTCAGGAGTGAGTCACCCTCTGTCCAATTCTTCTCGCCACCCACTCACTACCACCACCCTTACTGACAACAACCCTGAAGATGATGAATCGCCATGAGACAACTCCAGTATCTCGCCAGAAGATGATGGGTGCTCCAACTCGTCAATCGCTCCAGTGTCCGGATCCAATCACTCTGATACCAACTGTTATGATTCTGGTTGTTTGTTGTCTGAAGACCAACACTCACTCACATAGACTTCCAGGTATGCCCATACATACACAGAAGGAAGGGGAGAGGATAGGAGTATCACACTACACAGGGAGAGATAAACACAGCGGAAGACTTGACCATGCGGTATGACAAGGTACACTGAAAGTGCAATTCACTCCACTCAATACTCACAACCAGTCATAAAGAAAAGTCGAGTAGATCACATCCAGGAAACAATGAAACAATGATAGTCCAAACCTAGTTACACACTGGTTATTGAACTCGGAGTCTCGGATTGTCAGGATAACTTCAGTACTACAGTGCGCTGCTCAAAAGTGAGCAGCGCTTCACTCCCCAACCCTAAATAGCACCCGTAACACCCCAGAGCCCCTGAAACATCAAGCGCCACCCAGATACAGCCTCCACAGGGAAGCGCCACCCTAAAACAGGCCTCTGAGGCCAAGCGCCACTCAAAGGACGAAGAAGAAGGCCAGCGCCACAGTATCTGATGATGACGAAGTGTCGGAAGACTTCCCGGATGGAAGTCTGCAGCAGCGCCACCAAACCCTGCCAAGATGACCTCTGAGGAAGAAGCTGCAGCTATGGCTGCAGCGCCACCACCTTGGAACCCCACTCCGGAGGAGGGTCCAGCAGGGCACCAACTTCTCTCGCCTCCAGCAAACCTCGATAGCCCAGACCTCTGTCAGCCCCTACGTGCTGGCAGAGTACAGCGCAGGTCCCAGCTATGGCCGGCACTCCGATGCCCGTCTCCTTCCACACTGAGCCGTCACCACTTCCGGTTCACGCGTACTCGGTACCAACTGCCAAAAGCCCTGGACCGATGTGCCCACTCTATCTATAGACTGCAGCTAGCCTAGACTCGACCTAGACCGGACTGACTGACTGACCGGTACCGTATCAGTCTCGGCCTCTCGGCCTCTACCGTACTCAGCTATAGGCTATAGGACCGTCTATCAGCATAGGCCCTTAGGGCCTGTCTGTCCCAGGGGTAGCCCGGGCCTGCTATTCGCAGTTAGGGTAGGACTAGTGTTAGGCCTGTATTTTTCCCAAATTTACAGGTATGTCCCTCACGAATTCCCACTACAGGTAGGTCTCTCGGTTAGCCCTCAGCCAAACAAAATTACGAATCTATCCTACCTATGGTACAGCCTCGACAAAGAGAGGCTACAGGAGACCCGAAAACAGCAAGTCATTGCAAAAGGGTGACCAGTCGGGCCTCATTGCAGGCCATGCAACATCTGCTTACCCGTGAACAAATAGAATCTTCTCATTTTCGTTTCCAGTTTTACCACCGACGCAATACTGAATTCATCCACGAGTTCCACACTTCAAAATAAGAAGTTTACAGTATTAATACAAATGTGCATGGCTGCAACCCACATGGACATGTTGCCAACTGACAAATGCATGAGAGGATAGAGGACTTACCAATAAGTGAGGTAGCACGCTGCCACAAATCGCAAGAAACATGCTCCTCTAGCACCCTTAGGGCTTTGGGTAAACAAAACCGCGACGTTGCACTCTTCCAGCGCCAGCCTGTGCAGCACAGCATCCACCAATACAACAAAAGAACCATTTCACAAACCCACTCATGATCAGGATAGACAGGCCACAGTCTGACAGTGTACATGACAGCAAGGAAAACATGACTCAGAGAGCCATAGGCAAGAGGAAATGGTTGTAAGGGCATACTCATACTAGGACTTCGCCCAATGTATCTGAAACAGAGTACGGCCAGATTCAGCGGAAGAAGTTCCAATGTGAACATGCCCTAAGATGGCGATATCACATAGGAATAAGGGCATATTCATGAAGGGCATACTCATGCTAGGAATTTCCTGGAGAAGTCCCATGGCACGTACAACGAGATTCAGTCAGAAAAGTTGCCGTGTAAGACTACTTGATTACCATATCGCTTAATGGATTGTAAATGTGACCAAGCAGTGCCTTCTGGAAATAGACAAGCCATATGCCCAATCCTCTAAACCTTACGCCCTCTGTTTCCCTTCCTTAGGCCACATTGCATGCCTTTGTGGTTCTGTGCGGGTACCTATACACTTACAAGTTTTGCTAGCAGCCAGGTTCCGATGAGGCAGTGACGCTGCAAGCTGAGTTTGGATACATCCTGGCGATTGGAAGTGCATCGTCCACTCACCGCAATTGGGCATGGGAGTCATGATAGTAACTCTGTACGAAGATCCAAGGGGGAAAAGAAAAAAGAAACAACAAATCATGTTCAGGTGCAAGGAGAGAGAGCAAGGAAAGGGTGGACAAAAGCAGAACTTACAGTCTGCTTCTGCTGAGTTCTGGGTTCACCCAATTCATTCAATGGCTTATTTTACCTTCTTGAAAAGCTTACTGATCCTTTTTCAGAGAGAGTGATGTACAAAACGTTGCCCATTTATTTCATCCCCGATCACTGACAAATTTCCTGATGATTCAAGTCAATTCATGGCACTTTCGACCATCCTTCACCCTCTTCCCCCACTCCTCCTAATGCTCACTTGTGACACTTCTGCCTTCTTTTCTTTTGCCAAAAGTGGATAGTAACGAAGATGGTCAGCATGAACCTTGCTGGTTCCCTGTTGTTTCATCCATTGGATGGCTTCTGCAACCGCTCGGATCCCACTAGTTTTCTTTCACAGATGTCGTCAAATTATGTGATATTTCTGCTGCCTCAGGGTACACAAAATGGAGTGCCTCTGTGACATTCTTTAGGCCGGCATCAGACACCGGATTTCAGGCCTGGTCAAAGTTTGATAGGACTACCTTCTTAACCCGAAAAGAACGTATGTACCTTGTATACAAATACAACGTACGGGGTACGTTGTATTCAAATACAACGTACGTACGTTATAGAACGAGTTTTAGGCATGTGCAAGGTAAATAAGCAACAGCGAGATGACAAATCCAGATTACACCATCTCATTAAAAGCCAGATAGTCACACTGTGTCCAGAGAGTAGCATTGCACCAATAATACACCAATGGAGGTTCGTAGTACCGAAAACCAATGTCATGGAGAGCTCTCTCTCTCCTTCAGCAACACAAGAGTCCAGTCCCTTCACACTCCTACTTGGCGCTCAGCGCCCAGCCTACTCCTACACAGCTACCACAGCCTAATAATAGACAATGCAACTGTTGACATCAGCGGCAACCCGAAGAACTTGAAGATGTCGCCCATATGCAAACAATCGCCAATACAAGGTAAGTGCCCTCACATCATCATCATCATTATCCTTCACCCTTCCCTGACTTACACCCACACCTGTCCTCTCATACCCGAAGACCACCCCTGCGCCTCACTGTGTATCCAAGCCGAGGCCGCTATGGAGGCTGGCTATGGCGCTGCCCTCAGCAGCGCCCTGCTCCCTCACACGACCGCACGTGCACAGCCTCTTGCTCCAATGCCGGCAGCCAGCCTGCGAGCAATCGCTCCAGCAGCGCTGCCGCCAGCCAGCAAGTGACCGAATGCCGCAGCCAGGGCAGAGCTCTTTCCTTTATGGAAAGAGCCTGCTCGCGCAGCCTGGCTGCACTGGCCTGGGCCCAGAAGCTTCCGGAAGGCCCCAGGAGGCTGCCTGTGTACAGCAGCTACTGGGCTGCTTGGCCTCGTTCGGTTGGGCGCCCAACTGTCTCTGTATGAGGCTGCGAATCACGCCCAGGGCCTGCATTCTTTGGAAAAGCCCGGAAGGCCATGGAAATGTCTGTGTTGCCCGGCCTGAGTTTCTTTCAACCAACTGGCGCGTCGCAACTACCTGGACCCCAAATATGAAATTGAGAGTCGAGGGCCTCTTGCGATATGTTAGGCCCGCCTTCACTTAGGGCGGGCACCTCCGCCTTCACTTAGGGCAGGCAATGCTGCAAACAGGGCCCCTTAGGCCTACCGAGGACCCTGATCCTCGCACATGGTAACCCCGGACCCGGACACCAGACACTTCCGGACTGTCTTCCGGACGATAGTCTGGACAGGTCCGGACTGTCCGACGATCCGGACATCCCAGGGTGCAAAAATGTCCGGMCCTCCAAAAAAAAAAAAAAAAAAAAAAACACAGGGGTGGGGTGGGGGGTTGGGTGGGGGTGTTGGCAGGCACTTACCTGCTTTGCACTCTGTAGTTCACGCAGCAGAGAACGTGTCTTGCAGCAAATCAACCAGCACATTTAACTAGCAGACATGCAGAGTTGCAAACCTTGCAAAGCAGGCACAAGACTAAAGAAACAGAGAATTTTTTTTTGAAAAAAGTGTGATTAACTTTTTGAACTTTGAACTTTGGATTTAGTAATTTAAGTTCATAACTTCATATATAACTTAAAAGTTTGAACTTTGCAGTTCAATTCAGAACGTCAGAGTCTTCAGACTGGTAGCACTGTCAATGCTCTCTCTCTCTCTCTCTCTCTCCTCCGCCCCCCCCGCAACCGGCAGCAGCGGCGGGCGCCACGTCGAAACGGCCGATTTGAAATTGCTCGGGCCTGTGCGAAACCCGCCACCTCAAAAACCTGCAGTGTCTTGTGTCTGGACCTCTAGGCCATGTCCGGTGGGGCGAAAGGACACTTAAAAATCACCCCGATATTTTTCTAGAGGCAGCTAGGACCCGACAAACGTCCTGGGCCGCCCCATTTGTTTTTCAGATTTTTGCCCCAGGGGCCTCCATCCGGACATGGGGACCAGACACCGGACACCGGACTCTGGAACCCCGTCCGGACGTCCGGGCTGTTACCATTTTTAGGGTACGACTTTTCAGAAGCCTGTAGTCCCGCCATTGTTTTTGCTTTTATCTCAAATTTGGTTCGGAATTTCGCCAAGACGCTCAGGCAAAAATTGTTTGCATTGCAATGTTGTACAACATACTTTTTTTTCGGATTTTTTACTGAAGTTTTTTTTCAATCGAAATTCTGAAAAAATCAGTAAAAAACATTTTCATCCTCGTTTTTATTTTTTTCCTCGAATTTTCTCGTGAATTTCGATAAGACCCTCAGGCAAACGTTGTTTGTATTGCATTGTTGTATAACATTTTACTTTTTTTCGGATTTTTTAAATTATTTTTGAAAAATCAAAGTTCCAAAAATTTGAATACAACATATGTACGTACGTTATATTCGAACGTACGTTCTATTCGCAGGGAAAAACAAGCAATTTTCGAAAAACCCGATTTCCAGAGGTCATTCGAATAGAACGTACGTACGTTTTTTTCGGGTTAAACCACCAGTACTTGGCCCAGCTATTGAAGCTGAGCCTGAATACGCCCTGCGCGCCAATTTTTGCCGAGCCTGCGGGAAGTGGGAAAAAATACGGGACATCTGCTGCTGCAACCAGGTACCGCCTCTTCCTTTAGACCTGCTGCCAGCAGATGGAACGTAAACAGGCCGTCGTTTTCTTGTTTCCACTCACGCATTCAATGCTCCCGTGAAGGGTCTTCTTCCAAAAAAAAAAAAGCCAAAAAAAAAGAAAGAGAGAAACGTGAACGGCGTGCAGCAGTGAAGCCAGATACATGCGTCGAAGTTGCAACGTTACACTGCCTCTGGGACCTGAAACAATGAATGCTCCCCGTCTCTCACGGCGAGCAAGTGCAGAAACAGCCAACTATCTTAGCATCAAAAAAAAAAAAAAAAAAACGAAAAGGGGGAAACGGGAAACAGGCATCTGAACGTGATTGGCCTGAGATTCATACAACCCCTTGCAGCAGTGAAGCCAGATACATGCGTCGAAGTTGCAACGTCACACTGCCTCTGGAACCTGAGGCATTGAATGCTCCCCGTCTCTCACGGGGAGCAAGTGCAGAAACAGCCAACGATCTTTACCAAAAAAAAAAAAAAAAAACCGAAAAGGGGGAAACGGGAAACAGCATCTGAACGTGATTGCCCTAAGATTCATCTAACGCCGTGCAGAAGTGAAGCCAGATACATTCTCTCCTTCCCCCCCCCAAAAAAAAAAAATGAAAAGAAAGGAAAGCAATCATCTATCTTTATTTTTTCCGCGTCCGTTTTCTTTTTTGTTTTTTTGCCTCCTTGCTACCACTGTCCGCGCGTTTCCACATAGCACACCACCAGGACATCGTGCAGTCCTTTTGCCCCGTTTCCATGGGGCCACCAGCTCCCTCCCCCATTGCCATGCCAAGCCTTTGCCGAGGCGCAGGAAACGCGTAGCGTTAACGCTAAGGGCCCGCGGCCGATGTATGGGCCAAGTACTGGTGGTTTAAGAAGGTAGATTTGTCCACCAGACCTTTCTACAGCCCAAGGATGCCAACTGTGGCTGAGAAGTCAAGGTCAGGCCCAAAAGGTATCCCAACCAGTTATTTGCTAACAAGTCAGACTTGGCTATTATCAGACTCGATTCCTGGAACATGATGTCAACCCCGCAAAGATCCCTTGACCAGACCCCACAAACATGACCCTACTAGTTTGCAGAAACGTTGATAGATGTCTCCCTGGCTATCAATCAAGTTCCTGACTTCGCAGCGGGTTGAAACCACCACTCCCTCAAAGCCCCTTTTGCCAAGGTGAATTCCCACTGCACGCCAAGCCTCGCTGAACAGCCAGCACAGCATTTTCCACTTCTTTTTGCTGGCTCCGCCAGCCATCGGGATCCGGTAGCCCGAGCCTCCAAAGAACCCGGAGTGTTACATTTTCAAGTCTCAACATCGCCTAGGAAAGGTGGTGGAGGTCTAAACCGCCAGTGCATGGCCCCAGTGGATCCTCCGGGCTACCTGACCACTGTTGCATACTCGTGAAACACAGTCATGAGTATGGCGCAGATTCCCAGAACCGACCAGATAATACAGAGTTATACAGATGCAAGCGGAAGACTTGAGATACCTAGGACTGACTCAGACCTGACTCAGACTGCAATCGAGACACTCTCAAACATTCATCAGGGTGTGAATACCCTGGCCTCGAGAATAGACAAAGGGCCAGGGATCAAGATCATACACGGACGAAAGGAGAGAGGAGAGAGACGAAGGAGGAGGAGAGGGAAGATGACGTCAACTCAATGTTTCCAAAGATAGTATCTTGAACTGTCAGAAGTTACGAAAATCCGAAATGTCGCGAATGCCAAGTCTCACAATATCCCAGATGTCGATCTCACAATGTCAACTACACCTTCAGAAGGAAGATGAAATCAGATCCCCAAATAGTCCTCACCTCGTAGTCCCAATGTCGCTGTCTCAGATGTCACCAAAACTCGTAACCATCTCTCATCTGCTGTAGTCCCGTAGGAGAACCCAGACTAGACTGAGAAGGTAGGAAAAGAGAGAGAGAGAGAAGAGAGAGAGAGAGAGAGCTGGAGGGTGGAGGAACAGAGGGAGAGAAGGCAGAGCCTTCCTCCCGGTACCTGGCTATGGCGCGGCAAGGCCGCTGTGCTGTCCCCTCCACTGCTGCGCTCGCTGTCTCCTCGCTGCTCTGGCTCTCGCTGCTGTGCTGCGCTAATCTGCTTAACGCTGCCAAGCTGCGCTAATCCTGAAGACTAACTTCGCCCAGACTAACCTCATACTAATCTCCCATACTGAGGCTGGTACCCAGCCTTTTGTAGGGCTGGGCCGGCCTCTTTCCTACTGGTACCTACCGGACTGGACCGTTGATCCAGATCAACGGTCCAGTTTTGAAACTGGTTGGCGCCTAAATCGTGGCAGCCTCTGAACCGCTGCCGGTGGGTCCTAGGCTGGACCGGAAACGGCCTTGTGGCCGTTTGGCTTGGGCCTGCCTGAACCGCCGTGGCCCAGGCCTATTCGGCCTCATCTGAACCGTCGTCCCTCAGGCCTTATCCTGCCTGTCTGGAACCGGGCCCTAACTGGGGCCCGTGTGGCTCAGTATGCCACACCACGATGGCTCGAGGCGCCAGCCAAGAAAAAAAGTGCCGCTGGCAGTTCAGCAAAGCTTGCCTGCGCAGTTAGGCAGCCATAGCTGCCTTCTTCATCGTCAGAGTGACTCATCGGCACTGGAGACTACTTCGCTGTTCATGATCTGCATCTGGGTGTATGGCGCTGGCCTCTGGGAGGCTGTTTTTGTGCAGCGCTAGACTCTGAGAGTGTAGTAGTGAGTGGAGTGTGTGGTTCTTGAGTGGCGAGACACTGGGTGGAACTCTGTAACGATAATTGAGGTTAACTGTGTTGAGTTGGCTCTTCATCTGGGTTACTTTCCGATTGTGATCTTCGCAGTGTCAATTGTGATTGGTTGTTGGGAGTGTGTCAGGGAGAGAGAAACACTGAGTGTATTCTCCCCTTCTGTGCATAATTGCTATTCCGCTGTTTATCTCTGATCTGTGCGCAGTTGGACCCTGTCTCCTTCTCCCCTTTGTCTCATGCATGTATGGGCGTGTGTGAGTTCTTCTGAGTGAGAGTGGCAATCAAAGTGTCAGACAACCAAGTTCATAACAGTGCAGAGGCACTGAACCCAGGTGTACTGGTGGTTTAACACACTGAGGCACTTCAGCTCACATAATGAAGTTTGCCTGACTAAGCTTATCTTGGCATGTGCATTGTTATCTGTAATCCGAGGTTGGCGTGTTTATTTCTTGCTGTGATTTCACTATATCCGCATTTTCCCGTCTGTGAGCACCTGCTGAGAGTTTCCCAGGTTTCACGCCACTAGCTACCACCAAATTCCAACAGTCAGTCGCATCTGCCATTTTGTGAAACTCCATCTCCTGTGCACCAGGAGGGAAAGCCTATCATGGGTATTTCCATTCTGAGGTCTTTGACATTGGCTCGCCTTCATCCTGAGATTTTAGTTTGTCCTACAGTTGTTGTCAGCAGCTTCATTGTGCTGGACACAAATTTATGTTCAAACTGCAGTGGCCTGAATGGTCAAACTGCCACTATGGAAATGACACCTAGGGACGTCAAGTCAAATAAAAACATGCTAATACAGGAAGCAGGAAGTAACAACACAAGAAAAGAGAAGAAAGAGGAAGATCAGGGTGAGGGAAAGGGTGAGTTCAAAGGGAAGAAAGACGTAACCTTCATAGCAGTTGTCCATTTATGAACATGCAACATTGTTCAAAGCCAAAAAGAAGAGGAAGAAGACCAGGAGGGACACTAGGGTGATCAGAGCATAAGTTGCTGATTGATACCGATGCAACAAACGAGGCCTCAAATGCACAAACAAAAAACACCAGTTGTTGACTGGTGCCAGTACAGCAACATTTCGCTTGACTGCCAGGCCTCAAAAGCATTTTATATTCTTATAAAGGAACAAAAGGAACAGGAAGAAGGCAAGGTGTCAAAAAGGTGACAACACATTACCAGTTGTTGATTGATGCACATGCAGCAAACAAAGTGTCAATCGGGCAGACGCAAGCCCCTCTTGGTGTTGACCAGTCCGCCCCCATCTGGTTTCAAAAGAAGAAGAAAAAGAAAAAGATCGCTCTTCAGCCACTTCCCTGCAGCATGATTCCAAGCGACAGCACCGACCGGAGCCACTCTCTTACTACAGTACAGAGTTGGACCCCATGTCAGGAATTCTCATCAAGACCCTTTTTCCTTTAGTCTGATCGTCCATGCATGGTAGGTACATGCACTTGCCAGACTGAATGAATGCCAGCCTTGCATCAATAAGTCAAGTCGATGGACGATGGAGCAAAAGACACATGTACTATTGGAACTATGTCAAATAAAACACAACCAGACTCTTTGAGAAGAACATGCCCCCACATCCTAATGATTAAATACAAATCGTAAATTTGCAAACATAAAAATCATCAAATAATGTGCAACAACCACCCACTGGAGAAACTCATACTACAAGCACCATGACCTCTCTCTTGACCAACATGCACACTGCAAAAACAAGATAACAGAATTTACAAAGCAATGATCCCTTCACGCCTTCACGCCTCCAACAATAAATTACAGCAGGACCATGATCTCTCTTTTGACCAACACCTTCACATCAACGAGGAGGTTAGCAGGATTTACAAAGAAATGATTACATGAGCACAATAATTCACTCTGTAGACGTTTCTCTTTGATGATGAAACCCCCCTTCACACCTCCAACAATCAATACAGCAACAGTAGTGATTCTCCACCCTTCCCGGTGTCCATACCAGCTCAAGTGACAATGAACTCTTACCATCTACTCTATCCTATGGCAGGTCCTGGCCTTCTCTCACAGCCCAGCTACTGGCAGCGCTCGTCTGTCAGTCAATGCTGGTGCAGCGCACAAGAAACGCCTACCGGCCAGCTTCCTCCAACCAAGACAACTCTGACTTATCCTGCCCTTAGGTCGGTCCTCTGCTCAGCCGGTAGGTACTGCGTTCAGGAGTACTGTTTTTTGTCGGGCCCTACCAGGTCTCAAGCTGGGCCAAACTGGACCTGTATACTTTTAGCTCCGGCTAAGGGCCCATTGATCCCTTTGCCTGCTGAGAGGCCCCCAGGTCCTCACGTTCCCAACCCCTGGGGTTCAGAAAACCCTTGAGAATCCCTTCATTCCACTTGCTACTTGCCTTTCGGCCCACATGCTGACTCCAGCTCTTCTCTTGCAAATCACCAATATTCCCTCAGATCAACATGATATCTGACCCGAACTTCCTGTTGGTTCTGGTATCCATTGATAGAGGTCAGTAATACTGATCTGAAACAAGGAAACCGATTGTTGGTTATATGAAACAAGGATAGGTGCGGTTATCAGGAGGGACCTAACAAACAGGTGTCAAATCGATCAAGGGACAAGTTTTCCTGATAGAACTTCGAACGAACTCTGCGGTATCCTGCCAGTCCCAGGTATGCCTCAGGAACATTCCAAGGTCTAAGCGCCTCTTTGCAGGATACGATCAGCCCTGCTCAGTGAGTCCCTTGATCTCTTTGGCAAGCTCATCGGCTCCAAAGGAGACTTCCTAGACCTTTGTGTTACATCTTCGACGCCACACGGGTCCTGCCGGACCCGACTTAGGGCTAGAGGGACACACCAGGGCCTAAAGGCCCGACCTTGGGGKAYTACAGGCCATAAAGGCCTCACCTTGGACCAGACCCGACGGGCAGGCCCAAACGACATTACCGTTTGGGCCTGGCGGCGCTCTTGAGGCTGCCGCCTGCCGGTTGGGGCTGAACCGTCCATCDGGACGGTTCAGGGCACGGCCAGGCCTCGCAGCAGTGAGGCCGGCCTCTGCCCACCGGTATAAAGAACCGGTCCGGCCTCACTTCGAGGCATCGAACCACCGGCACTCTACCGGTGCGTTATGGTCAGCGCTCGAGCACTGTTTTGATGCGCTAAGTTTAGCGCAGGAGCGAGCAAGGAGCAGCAGCGGCAACGCAGCATTAGCGCAGCGGCAAGCGGAGCAACAGCAGGGCGACTGAGCCAGCACGGCGGCCATTGCCGCCTGAGGTACCTGGGACAGAGGACCTCTCCTCCCTCCGTTGTCAGCTCTCTCTCTCTCCCCTCCTCCTCCTCCTTCTTCTTCTTCTTCTTCTTCTTCTTCTTCAGACTAGAGACTTATACTAGTTGGATAGAGATCAGTATTGGACTTCGGTGGTATGAGACTGTGGTACTTACCGCATTGGAGACTTGGAGATTGTTGGGGTTGATACTCGGCTGCATCACAGTTCGGACACCGGTTACATTTGGACTCTGTACCTCCGACATTGGTGGCCTATTGTCCTCGACATTTTGATCTTGTTAGATGACATTTTGGACTACCATATCGGYGACCTATCAGATTCTATCTCGGTGACCTTCGGTGTTGTCTACCTCCCCACCTCCTTCGTCTCTCCTCCCACCTTTCATCTGTGAATGCRTGTACGGGATCTGGGCATCGTCTATGAATGGCCCAGACCCCACCATCTCACGATTGTATGTGTGTGGAGTGATGCTATGTGAGTCAGTCTATGTGAGTCAGTCTATGTGAGACAGTCCGTTTATCAGACTTTCGCTGCATATATGCTCATCCTACATTGGTTGATCTTTGGTTTTGCCCATACTCATTGAAGTATGCAACATTTGCTTCAGGACTTGCTCCCTAAACCTGTCTCTATGTTGTACCTCCCTCCCTACACTCCTCTAGGTCCCCCCTGAGCAAAGGTGTCGCATACCGTAATCGGTGCAGACCAGAACAAGAACCGACCTCTCTCACATAGCACAAGATCGCGCAGCAGGAGGCTAATATACCAATGATCAAACCAATCAATGTCGCAATGCAGACCAAACATACATCATCATCATCGCAAGATGTGAAGGGCCTGGCGCTACATACAGGAAGAAAAACCATTGGACAAAATATACAGGGCTATCATCTTCTATGGCAAGACTTTCCAATCTTTTCAAATTTGCTTGGATGGCGCCAGGTCCAGACCATACAC